GAACATATCATTTAAACATTCACAGTCCAGGCAGGAAAAAAAAAAGTTTGTGAACCCTTGTATTTAGTTAATGGTAGAACCTTCTTTAGCAGCAATAACCTCCACCCAATGTGTCCTGTAGCTGCTGATGAGACTTGCACAACAGTTAGGAGGAATTTTAGACCATTCCGCCTTACAAAACTGTTTCAGTTCATTGATATTTCTGGGATTCCTTGCATGAACAGCTCTCTTCAGGTCGTGCCACAGCATCTCAGTTGGGTTGAAGTCTGGACTCTGACTTGGCCATTCCAGAACACGTTTTCTTCCATTTAAGCCATTCTGTTGTTGATTTACTCTTGCGTTTCAGGTCATTGTCTTGTTGCAGCACCCAACTTCTATTAAGCTTCAGGTGACGGACCGCTACCCTGACATTCTCCTGTAAAATCTCTTGATACAGTTTTGAATTCAGTGTTCCCTCTATGGGAACAAGCCGTCCAGCCTCTGAGGCAGGAAAGCAGCCCCAAACCATGATGCTCCCTCCACCATGCTTCACAGTTGAGATAACATAGCGTTGCCATTTCTGCCATTCCAAGTTCAACTTTTTGTCTCATCCGTCCACAGAACATTGTCCCAGAAGCATTGTGGAACATCCAGGTGATCTTTTGAAAACTTGAGACATGCAACACTGTTTTTGTTGGAGACCAGTGGTTTCCTCCGTGGTGTCCTTCCCTTAACACCATTCTTGTTCAGTGTTTTTCTGATAGTGGACACATGAACAGAGACTTTGGCAAGTTCAGGAGATTTCTGCAGGTCCTTTGCTATTACCCTAGGGTTCTATTTCACCTTCAGCATCACACGCTGCGCTCTTGCCCTGATCTTTGCAGGACACCCACTCCTAAGGAGAGTAGCAACAGCACGGAATTTCCTCCATTTGTAGACAATTTGTCTTACTGTGGACTGATGAACACCCCAGGACTTTAGAAATGCTTTTGTAGCCCTTTCCAGCTTTATGCATCTCTACAATTCTTCCAAAGTCCTCTGATATTTCTTTTGATCAGGGAATGGTTCACATGAACAACTCTTTCTTGGGAAGAGCAGACTCTATCAGTAACCAACCTTTGTCTGCCTTTTTTATAGGGAAGGGCACCTCCAACCCACACCTCCAATCTCATCTCATCGATTGGAACACCTGACTCCAGTTAGCTTTTGGAGAAGTCATTAGCATAGAGATTCACATACTTTTTCCAACCTAGACTGTGAATGTTTAAACGATGTGTCCAGTATCGACGATACGATATTGTTTTGGTGTTATTAGTTTCAGCAGATTGTGTTTGTCTATTATTGTGACTTCATTGAAGATCAAACCATATTCCTGTGAGTAATTAATGCAGAAATCCAGGTAATTCCAAAGAGTTCACAAACTTTTTCTTGCAACTATATGCAGTTTATTCTTTTTAAATAACGGGGACATTTTCTGACAGGAGGCCAAGCTGTGTCATCTGCTAAAGGTTAGCTGATAAGTAGCACTTATTAGATGGAGTTTAACAAGCTAGTTTGCCTCTCCCCACTTCAATTCTACACCATGGGAGTGTATTTTCTACAGACAACTGGTGTTTTTGCACAGCAGGTTTGATGTCAAAGTTTGAATGTATCACGTGTAAAAAAATAGTTTGTGCATTCTCTACAGAAATGGGTTCCTTGAGTGTCTTTTTAATAAAACATTTTTGTCTGCAGTGCATGATTAAATTGACAGATTATCCAAGCCCAAATACTAACAGAGCTCTAATAGAAAGACACTTCATGACACAAGCAAGATATGAAATAATAGGAATCAAAACAATCTTATGTTATCTTCTGATTTAGAAAGTAATATAGATAGTATTGTACAACTGGCACAACTGGATATTCAATATTATTTTTAAATAATGTAAATATCATTTGGTTATGCCAATTTTGAAAATTATTATGTATGGTACTCTGTACAAAAAGCAAACAACTTTAGGAAGGAAGAGGAGGAATGTTTAGTACAAATATGCTTATATACTTTTCACCTTATACCTAATATTTCATCATCTTATACACACTAGGGGGAATTATTAGCTTCTCAAAATTAACATGTACTGTCCTAATGTGCTGTAAAAACATTTCTGACTTCGTAAGCTTTAAAACTCTTCAGCTGCAGCGAAGCCGACTGTTTTTCTGATTTCTTGAGAGTGCTGCGTGTGCAATTCTGCTCAGCCAACAGCCTGTAATGTCTAAATAGCATTTTTTAAAGTAAATTAACTTAAAAGCACTCTGGGCTTTTATCCTAAAGAATTAATCATGTAATGCTTTTTTCTTTCATTCAAATCAAGTTTTTGGCTTTCAGCAGTCTGTAACGAGCACTTGGCCTTTAAGATAAACGCACAATTTTCTGTTTTAGTTCTCAAGGGAACATGCAAGACAGTGTGTCATAAATAACTGCTGTAGTTGATGTTTTATTCATTTTTGACAGATTCTTCTTCTGCGGTAAGAGATAGAAACAGACGATTAAACCTACAGAAGTGGTAAATTGATGTAGAACTGAAACAAAAACAGTAAAAAAGAAAGCTCCTCTCAGGGAGTTCACCTACCTTCACCCCCTCTGTCAATCGCAATTTGAATCTGTATGGTTCTATATGGTTATACATTTAGAATGGTTTTCTGCATATCTCTGTGGATAGTTTTTTAATCTCAGTGAACATGCAATACTTACTGTATTTCTTGGTATTCCTCTGCTGTATGGGTTGGGAGATATAATGCTTAAATAAGAAGAGAAAATGTGTATGTATCTTCATTTTCTAAATTGGTTTAAAAGCCTGAGTCCCTGTGTCTGCCCTAGGTGTTCCTCTTGGCATTTGCGATTTACTTTTTGGCTCGTGAAGGCATGGCAGTGAGGCGAGAGGGCTGTCGCTACTTCGCCCAGCCATGGAACATTGCTCAGTGGTGCACCATCGCCCTCTCTCTGTCCACTGTGGTCGTGCACCTGAGCCGCGTGTCCCTCGCTGACCGGCAGTGGGACACCTTCCTCCAGCACCGGGAAGGCTTCACCGATTTCTACAAGTTTGCCTTCCAGAGCACAGTCTTCACTGAACTGGCGGCTGTGCTGCTCTTTCTGCTGATTCTGAAGGTAAATCCTCACGAACCTCCCCAAGACCCAAGCAGCTGAACTCGAAAGGCTTCTCCCTCTGCTGTGGGTAGTTACACTTCAGGTTTCTGTCCGTCCTAAGATTAGAGTAAAGGCAAATGAACATTAACATCACCAACTCTCCTCCTATGCGCCATTACTCTTGCGGAATATGTGACATATAGACTATTAAAACATGCACGAAAAAGGTGACAGGAATACGGGGCATACTTAATCACACCTTGATGTTTTCAACGATACGTTCATTGTTCGAGGAAAAAAGTGTTATACCACCAATAACGAGATCTAAGAATTATTGAATGAGCATCCAAGACACAGCTGAGTAAAGTTCTCCATAGACCAATCCACTTGGTTCAGGACCCTCTCTGCCTCAGTACCCAAAGCCGATTATTCCCAGGTCAGAGATACTGCTTGACAGCTGGTCCTCCTGGCCCTCAGGTCTCTCACCAGCTGCGGTTCCTGAGAGAGTGGTCCATCTTTGGGAAGACCCTGCGCCGCGCGGCCAAGGACCTGCTGGCAGTGACGGTGGCTTTCGTTCTCCTGCTCCTGGCCTACTCCCAGCTGGGCTACCTGGTAGGCCGGCTTTCACCTCCATGACAGAGTATGGCAGCATAAACCCTAGGAAAGGGAAGGGAATCCCAGAGGAATCGCTCCGTGGCTTGGTGAATGGGGCTGCCCACATTTACAAAGCGGTCTTTGGTTTCCGTCAAGAAATAGCCGGATGAGATCCTTGGATCGGTTAACTACAAACGTCCAAATAGGCAGCATGGCCTCCTCTTGTCTGGCTTTTCTTATTTATTAGTGATTGATAGACACCTACATTACAGGCCTGTAAAGCCTAAGCATAGGAATTTGAGAAAACCCAGATCTTGTTGTTAAATTTTGAACTCAGCAGGATCAGCTGCTGTTTTAGTAGTTTCAAATGTAGTCCCGCTTTTGAGGGCTCGTTTCAAGGAATAACTTAGTCCAGGGATTTTGCAGAATGTCTCCTGATCATTTCCATTGAATGTGCCAGTCAGTGTGCCTGATGTTAGGGTATTTTAAAAGGCACATAGTCTTTTGGAGTTTCGTGACAACAGAAAATGGAACAGAGCTCTCTGTATCCTTGCTAAAGTATTCACCTCTTTCCACTTTGTTGAATCACACATGATTACACTCTTCATGTGGGTAAAACGTCATTCACCTGTAATAGTGTGTAGCTTGAACATTCAAGTAGTAAAAATACTCCCTTTAGGCAGCAGGGTGGTGCTGTAGTTAGCATTGCTGCTTTGTAGCTCTGCAGCCCTGGGTTCAATTCTAGACCTGGGGTGCTGTCTGTGTGGAGTTTGTATGTTCTCTCCATGTTTGTGTCAGTTTTTTCTGGGTGCTTCACACCAAAAAGCATAAGAGTCACCTCTAATTGGAAACCTGTATGCTTTTACTGTACCTACAGCCTCCAGTTTGCTTATAGATTTATAATAATGGCGTTTATGATCACTAATTAAATGAACTATTCGGATTCAGTTTCAGTAAAATAAAAATGTATCTACGTATAAAGAAGAAAAACGTATCACTACTCATGTGTCTCCTTTAGTGGCAGCTCAATACCTGCATTACTATTTATAAAGTCTTTCTCAGCATGGTGACTGCAGGGTTATCATTTGCTCTTAGAAAATTGTAGCCATTTTCCAAGGACCAGAGAACATTTCATCTTTAAATGCTTCCAGAGAAATTTAATAAGTACCTTTCAAGCTGTTTTAAAAGTGCTCTCTTCACCTAGAACATTTTAAAATCTTTGTGTTTTTTTTGTTAAAGATCTATGTTGTAGTGTTTTGGCTCTGTGGTCTTCAGAGTGATTGGCATCTGAAAGGCATCTGTCCTCATCTTGTCTGCACAAAAAGGAAAAGAAAATGTAGCTGCAAGTATTCCACTATGTCATGGTTCCTCTGGGCTCAGAAAAGAATGAATATGCCTTTGCAACACCGTAATGATCTTAACATCCACCCATGTCTGAATATCATCTTAAAAAGTAATTCCCTGCATTATGTTACAATGTATCTCTACAGAAGCAAAAGAAAAAGCATACGCAGTTATATGGCCAAAGGGGATTCATCGGTTTCTTTTTTTTCTGAACTCATTTATATAAATATTTCAGAAGTTGAACTTCGGCTTCAAAGATCTGCACAGAATCAGGCTTGGCAAATGCGTGTCCCAGGAAATTGGAGGCTTATTCTAAGTATTTTCAAAATGACCACTCAGGAAATCTGAAGGTTGGCTTTAGAGGATGGCGGAGCTTAACAGTGAATTTAAGGGACGGGCCCAGACGCAAATAAGGAACACCAGAATGAATCAAGCAACAAGAATGGACAGTGTTCCCCGGAATAAACTCCAAACTGCACGAGTACAGTCAGATCTCGTGACAAAGTAAGGAGAGGCTTGATTGCAATACAGGGCTGTATTGAAAACTGAAACTGTAAAGAAACGGGAATTTGACAACATTTAAATATTGAGCATTTTCAAACCTTGTGGAGAAAGAAAGAAAACCGCCTCCTTCTTGTTTTATTCCAGTCATGACACAGCTTCAGCTTCCTGGCTCCTTACCTTAGTTCCCAAGAAGGTGAACTAATGGCACGGCGTCCTCTCTCCCAGGGGTGAAATAGCGTGATTGGAGGATGAAAAGGCCGTGCATAACCCACACGATTCTGCACCAGGTTTAACCTCCTCCTCCCCCCCCCACTATCCCCAGGTGTTCTCTTCTTCAGCGGAGGGCTACAGCAGCGTGGGCTCAGCCTTTCTCTCTCTTCTGGGCGTGCCGCAGGGGCTCCTGGCGCGGAGGCCGTCTCTGCCGCGGCCGTCCGCCCTCTCCCTGGCCTATCTCATCAGCTACGGGGTCGTCCAGGGCTGGCTGGTGCTCCGCCTGTTCCCCGCCGCCCTGCTCAGGAGCTACGCGCTGGTGCGCTCTGAGCTGTACAGGCCCGCCTTCGAGCCGCAGGACTACGAGATGGTAGAGCTCTTCCTGAGGAGGCTGAAGGTGTGGATGGGGCTCAGCAAGACCAAAGAGGTTTGTCTTTCCACCGGGGGGGGGGCACAGCGGGTTTCAAACAGAGCGGCGAAGGAAGGGGGGAGACACGTCCTTTCACACGAGCTCGAGCGCAGATGTCCTTGCCTCAGCCTTCTCTCACGTCCCTTTCCACTTGTCCTCTTTTGTCCCGGCTTTTGATGTCCTTCTCATTCGTACTGCGGCTTTTGCTTGGTGCTCGTGTTCTCGCGACGGGGATGAGAGCGAGGGTTAATTATGGCTGTCTTCTTGCCTTCCAGTCGTCTTCGCTTGCACACTCCCCCGGGTCCACTCCTCATGTGGGTTAGAGACCTGCCTCAACTTGCCAGTTAGAGTTTACACGGTTAGAGACCTGCCTCAACTTGCCAGTTCGTTTCTGTTTTGGGGACTAAAAGGCAAAGCACCTTTATGAACGTTTTCACCCTACAGTTGCAAACGTGTTTTTCTAAAACGCGGTCTGTCGTGGTAACCCGTTCAGCTCCCTGCGTATCCCCTGATTTCCAGAGCGTCCCCTTTCCTTCTCTTTCCTCAGTTCCGTCACAAAGTGCGCTTCGAGGGCATGGACCCCCTGCCATCCCGCTGCTCCAGCGACTCCAAGTCCCTGTGCCCCCTGCCGACCCCGGACACGGCGTCGGACACGTCCTCGCGCCCCTCCTCCTCCAGCCCCTGCGGCCCGGCGGAGGCCCTGGGCCCGGCCCCGCCCCGGGAGAGAGCCGAGGCCGAGGCCACCCTCCGCCGCCTCCCGCCGGTGTTCGACGCCCTGCTCCTGCAGCTGGACCGCGTCAACAAGGTCACGGAGGACCTCTACCAGACGGAGTGCCGCCTGGAGCGGGCGCAGAGGCGGCTCAACCGCAGCAAGTGCCTGCAGGTGACGGAGGCCCTGCTCAGCAAGTACTGCCTGGTCAACAGGAGCGCCTCTGCTGGCAGAGGCCCGGCGGGCAGCCGCGGGCAGAAGCCCCCCGAGCTGCGGGCCAGGTCTCCGGGCGCGCGCCCCGGCCCACGCGACAGGGAGTCCGCCTGCGACGCGGACGCGGCGATCCCCTCCAGTTTATTCCGGCACCCCGCCCACACAACCACCATCCCCACCAGGAAACGGAGACCCCCGCCCATGAAAAACAAGGTGCACCCCAACACGGATGTGCACGTGACCGGTCACCCAAAAATGGAGGCTCTCTCCCGGCAGGGCAGCCAGCTGTGAGCGTCGCTTACAGCTGAGGGGGGTGGTGAAGGCTTCTTAAGGGGGAGGTTTTGAGAGGGTTACTCGAGCGCCACTGGGATAATCTCATTGGCACCGATTGCCAGAAGTCAATCTTGTAACCAGGCCGCAGTAGCCGAAATTGCCTCAGGTTTCTACCGAAATGGCGCCCTGCTGATCCCGGAAATGGACAGATTGAACGTGGCGGCGCGCTCTTTACCCTGTCGTGGTGTGCCCGAATGAGAAAACAACAAATAAATTAAAATGGGGAGGCTCAGCAGGGCGGTCGCTTCTGGTGCAGACCTGCCAGGAATCATCAGATGGTTCTGCGGGAAAATAATCGGATGAGCCGATGAGCTGATGAGCCGCAATCACTTTCCCTCTTAAAAGGGGGAGCAGCTCTGATGAGGAAGCGCTGTGTTATCTCGTGGAAAGACTTGTGTTTTTAAGAAAGAAAGTCACAAAAGAAGCTACAACCTGCCCCGGAGGCCTGGTGGGAGCCTAACAACAAAGTTAAGGTGATAGTGGCATCAGGTCGTGTCAAGACTGTTTCCCACACAGCTCTTCACTGCAGGACTTCCATTCTGATTACTGTCCAGTTCTGCTTTAGAATCCTATTAGATCTCTTCACCACAGGAAAATAATCCGAAGCCCTGAACAGTCCATGAATGTTCTGATGTCTTTGAACAGCGGTTGTGGGGACCTTAGAGAATTATATGGTACACAGTGAGGATTTCAAGACGGTGCGGGTCGCCACTTTTTATTCCAAAGACCCTGGAGGTCTGCGTGAAAATGACAAAGCATCGGTTGTGCTTTTAAAAATATCAATTGAAAATGAATGGACTGCAAAATTAACAAAGTACTTGCTTGGTGTACAATTCTGTTCAACACGTTGCTCTAAAAGAAAACTATTGGTGATTATTTTTCTTTTTTTATAAAAAAAAAACTGGTGTAAGGTCATTGTTCTGTTTCAGAGCAGTTTTGAGTTTTTGTATTTACATGTGTTTTCAGATCAAGGTTGCAGAAATCCAATGGCCTGGTGCACTGCAGAAGGTATAGATGATAACTGTGCTATCAGTGCCCCCTCCCAGCTTTCACTGAATTCTTAGCAATTCTTAGGAATCAAGTCCATACAGTAAAGATAAATCGGAGGTAAAAAAGAAAGATATTGATAACGTTTATATAATAATCAAGTGTTATGGATGTTTATCCCTTATTATTGTCTCAGGTTGTTATATTCAACACAGGGGTGTCCAATTCCCAGCATGCAAAGGCTGTAGGATCTTCAGATGCTCTTCCCAACTTAACGACATTAATTCAGATTTTCAACCACAATGTCAACAGGCTTTATTGGCGCGACTGATCGAATTAATCTTGCCAGTGGAGTAGCAGTTATCTAGACGGGTACAACAGAAAACATGGTATAAGTTCGCTAAGGAGTCCCAGAGTTGCTGAATTGGAGGCCAAGCGGGCCAACTGTTTAATGAAGTTAGAGTAACAGGACATGTTTGGCATTTTCAAATAATAATTTACTGCTTCAGCCAACAGGAGCTCGTGTGGATTAAACATCTGAAGAATCTGAACTGGGTCAACTGAACATGGTTCCGCTACACTATATACAGTACATCCGGTTGTTTCTCGGTTTGGGGGTTTTTCGGTTTCATTGCGAGCCCACTGCGGCATGCAGACGGCTCATGTCATCGAAAGCCCCACTGAGAAACCTGGGAGGGGGCGGGGGGGTATACATTGTGTTGCTTAATGGTTCAAAACTAATTTAAAAGCACTTTTAGTAATATATTTTAAAATAATAAGCTTCTTACAGTTACTATCGGATGTAGCTGCACAGATACGTTCCATTACTATTGCCAAAGCTTGCTAAGCATTTAATAGCACCGAGGAAGGATTATAATATTGTTATTTTAACTTAATTGTTGTCATTTTAATTGGTGTACCTAGCACTTTACTTTTAAAGGATGCTATTATAAGATGGCATATTTAATTATTTTTTTAAAATCTATATTTGCAAGGTTCCTTTATAGAATACTATAGCTGATGTGCTTTAGGGTGTTGTAATGTCACGCAGTCCTGTTCTTTTCTTTTCTTACTGGACAGCTTTTCTACCACATTTAGTTTACTGTCACTTTTCTCAGGGATCCCAAAACAGGAGTTTCTTTTAATTCGGCTCAACCTTATTGCGGTACAGGTCACATCTGTAGTATCTAAGGCCAAAGGCAGTTTTCGTACGCTATGTTGGGTGTTTTTAGCATACTGTATTTATCAGAAGGGCTTTGCAAGAGTAGCATTATGATGTCGGGAAGGACCATAAATATCTTACTGGGGGCGACATTGTTCATCTCTGAACAAATAGGGCTTGAAAGTAGAGGACCAGATCTATAGAATAGTAACTGATAATCAGTAAAGGTCTAAAGTGGTGAATCACATGAAAATCTGGCAAGTGCATTGATTTTTGTCAACATTATTCAGAGACTATGAGGCCCTTAGTGACTTTAACTTCTTAATCACTGGACATTAAAACGCATTTTAGAGCATTCCAGAAAAGCAAATCAATATTTTACTATATGTATTACTGCACTTAAATATGAGGTTTAAAAGAAGGCTTCAGAGCTGTGCTTTTGAGGTCCTCTGTTACTATGGAAATCTCAACATTGAAGGACAGCGCTGTTCTATACAGTACAGTACGCCCAATTTTCAACTGGCCAACTCCTCTACAGAGAGTCATTGAAGATTAGACTGGAGCAAATGGTTCTGGCAGGTGTGAACTTTGGACGGTAGCAGTAGGTCAGATTGTTTTGGTTGTTGTTATGTTGGTCGTTTTCGTGCTGCTGGTTCTTAGCACCTAATGTACGAATTTAAGATCGGGTTAAAAAACTAATACAAAGTGACTGGCTCAAGGCCATTTAATGTGGGACTAGTAATGTGGGAACAGAAAGGGTCTTCAGTGTTTTACCAGTGTCTTAATATGTCAGAAATTATTGATCTTGAAGAGTTCAGTGCAAGTACTTGGTACCTGAATAAAAAAACAACATATACAACAGTTATCACAGTTGGGTTTAACAATCTTTTTTTTTATTTATGGCCAGTTATTATTGTTAATAGTTCAGTAAAATTTCTCAGGGCAGGTGTGTTCCTCCTTTTTCTGTAACTGGTATTCATTAGTCATGAAGACATATTTATTTTGTGCTTAATGAAACAGAACTTATCACATGGAACACAGCACACAGAATCCCTTACAGGACTAAATTTGATAACATTCAGGTAATGTGAATAGAATTTGCACTGAACACTTCATTTTTTTAATAAAAAAGGGTGATTTGCAGTAATAAGCAGGACTTAAATAAAACTCCAATGATTTAAAGAATGTAGATGTCAATACGTTTGTACCTAAGAACCTTATAATGAATTATAGCCATACTCCTTAAGAAGCATGCTTTACAATTTAAACACTAGTATTCACATTTGTATTTCAGAATTACAATATATACAATCAGCAATTGTCATTAAGCTCGACTGTTTTTTCGATGTATATATGTACATATTTTTGAGTCCCGCTGTAAATATTTTATTGTTCCATACATTGGCTACAGTACAGTCAGAGCACTGAGTATGCAAAACCATTGAAACCAATTTTAGATTTGTACTGAGGTAAGAAAATTTAGGTATTTACATCAATGTATTTCAGGAAAAGAGGTTTTGTTTTTGACAAAATGTATGTGTAAAAGAAACAGCATTCTTTCAAAGTATAGTAAGGGACAAGGTTCAGGTGGAAAGTTATTCACAGTTTTTGGCACAGAATCGGCATTTAGTTAAACAATTAGACTGCATATTTGTACTTAGAAAAGCATCTATTTTATAAATCATATGTACTTAAGTGCAAATCGATGACTGAAACTCTTTTAGGTGTCTTCTGCTTAATTGTTAATTATCCACACAGTTGTTAAATGGTACATTAATCTCCATTTGTTGTAATTAAATAGAGGCATTACAGGGAATGTTGAATATGCTGAATGTGTCAAATCTATTGGTGTAAGTTAACTTTGCTCTGGGGCTAACATGGTGCATCGTTTGTTAAACAGTGTAACACATCTTGCGTTATTTTCATAGAGATACAGCAGTTAGGAGTATCTGAAATTTGCAACAAGTATTTGATAAATCTTTTAGGAAAAGATAACAGCTTTGTATATACATGTAACATTATGCAAACTTATTTCTGACTATTGCATTTTCCTGTACACAAATGTTAATACTGTAGCTGCAAAAAAGCCAGCGTACCTATTTGGAAAACAGCAGGGCTGTTACTAAAAGCTTTTCAATATGGTTTGTCCCTCAGATTTGCCAGGGTACATTATTCTTGCTTGGCGGGCACAATATTAATATAATTGCATCTCTTCTTTTTCTCCTCCTGTAATCTTCTGTCCCAGTTTTGTCATTAAAGGTCTTTGAAGTATTTTATTTTTTAGACGGCGGCAATTTGCACATCGGAGGGGAGTAGGATTTAGAAGGCAAGACCCTGCTGCATCTGAGATTTGAAAGAGGGGATTTTATGGCCATGGTGTGTTCTTTGGGGCTTACCGAAAGCGTTAATAAAGATAAATTGGAGTTTGAGTGGTTTGCAAAGCAGGTTGTTTGCCCTTGGCCAGATTCGTCTTGGTGCCACCATAGCGTGTTCTGATAGTGTCCTGGAACACAGCAGAGAGAAATCTTCAGTCTCCACCTGATGCGCCTGTTTCACAGGGGTCTAGGACTGCTGGGCACAGACAGGTGCCAACCCACCCACCTCCTCTGTGTTCATGCACCTGAAGGGGGAGCCAGGCCTGTGAGCCTTTTCATTTTTACTTTCTGTTTCAGAGAGAGCAAACACAAAGACAACATTTGACCTACTTCGTAGGTCTCGGGGTTAAACAGGAAAGCAGGTGGTGCATATCAGGTAGTCAAACTACAACAGGCAACAAATAGCATATGAAATTCATCTAGTCAAAACTAAGAATTGCCCCATGGAAAGATCAGTTTGCAATACGGTTATTTCTGTATCACCAGCATAAACGAGTTTGTGTAAAGATGCTTATACAAGTAATAAGGACCTGCTTGGGAAGTAGGAAAACTGTTTATACAGTTCTGTATTCATGGTGCCAAAGCGTGTTCAGGAGCTGAGTGATGTTTTTTTGAAACGATGCTGTTGTAAAATGTTTTGTTGTTGTTGTTGTTGTTGTTGTTGTTGTTTTGTTTGCTTGCTGTAGCACTTCCCATGCTTTGCACTTGACAAAGTCCACGTTTTGATGGCTGACCTTTGGGTATTGTGTACGACAAGAAATACAAAATAAATGCCTACTTAGTCTTTCTACAAAACTGACTCTGACTCGCGTGTCATAATTTTCACCGGGTTCCTTGACTTTGCTGTAGCTGTAGTAGGCATGCTTGAAATAGAGTACAGGAAATGGGATGTGAATCAAAACTGTACCAAGGGAGCCTTCGGGAACACCTCTGGATTGTATTTGCTTGACCTAACATGTTTTTAAAAAATTGGAATCCCCAAAGATCCGCGCTCTACATGTCAGGTATCCACACACAGACATGCTGTTCATAAATCACTCAGCAGCCAGATCACTTCTCATTTGACAAGATGTAAAATCACTGGGAGTAGGTGGGTGTCTTTCACAATCACTTCTTGGCAGCCAGCAAGCTAAAGGAAAGCTGAGAGTGCCCCCAACTTTAGCACTTCATCCAGTTGAGGATCGCAGGGGAGCCGGAGCCTATGCTGGTAAGCAATAGCGCAAGTCAGGGTACACCCTTACACACACCGGCAAACAAAGAAGCTCTGTGAAGTTGCCCCCACCCCTACAAACGGTGAAACCCACTGCACTCGTTAGTGCTCCGTTTGTGTCGGTTTGTGGCGTTGAAAACGTAGCTTCCCAGCTGTTTCTGTACCCGAAATACAGCGAATATATTCTCGGGTAATTACTTGCCCATGAACGGCGACTTCGGCCGCTAGTCACCCCGTGTGGAAAGGTCAAGCACTTTATTGCTGCTGCAAGGATAGCTATGTCTGCAAGTTTGTTCCTCTGTTTGCCCGGGGGTAAGTTGAATTTGCATTTGATACCGGTATTTTCTCTGCGTTTGCGTGAACGGGACAGTTAAGCTTGTCTCCAATCCAATACCGTAATCACAAGAATTGCGGGTTTAGCCTTTAAAAACGAACATTAGCCAATAGTTGCATGTTCTTAAAAAAGGCTATAACCAGCGCATATTAATGCTTCGTTGCTGTGTCAATTTTTTGTAAGCAGACGAAGTAATTAGTTTCTCATTGTGCCCGTTTTAAAATATGCAAAAGAGGGGACGTGTGAAGATTGGAAACGTGAAAAAGGACCAAGAAATGTTTTTTAAGGGGCACTATGTACTACTGTAAGTTGACCTAGGACTTTCATGTCTTGTCTCAGAAATACAGATCTCTGAAATATTTGAAAATATTTTTAGTTTTACATATAAATATAAATACCTTCCACTAGTTCTTTGCCAGCCGACTGATACTCAAAGACATTGTCGCCTTCCCCCTATTTTCATTTGACTACATTTTGACTATTACAGTATATTAAATAAAAGCTTTTCTAATACTAATAATAAGGAGCGAAGTGATGCTCCATTGATAGCAAAACTAGTTATTAATCCTGATCACTATTCTGTTTTCTGTGCATACACCGGTTGACATTCCATTTACACGCATCGCTTTTCATTATTAAATATTTAATCTTCTATGTGGAACCTTGTCGAACGCCCGTGGAATTTGACACCTACTGGTATAGAGGAACTAAAGAGATACTCTGTTCAGACATCAGCTGGGGTGCAAAGCAGACACAGACTCCCCCAAGTCTACTGCATATTTTGATGCTTTATTTTTTACTGTCAATCGAAAAGATGAACAAGTCAGGTCCAGTCGCAAAAAAGGCTAGAAAAACGCATTAGAAGGGCGTCTCAGTAGCATTAATTTAATGCTTGATTAGCGAGCAAACAGTGGAAACTGATAGGCTGAGTCCGCCTTGTCTCGGGACTGATTTGGCTTTAGTCTGAATAAGAGATGTACTGTACATGGCCGGTATTTTGCGTGGCCGGCCTGGTGGCTCCGCGGGCTGAACCATCGGACACTTCTAAAGTTCAGAGAGCAGATCGACTCCCGGAGAGTCTTGTGAGTTGAAGTCGAGCCCCGAGCCTCCCCGTCAGTCTGAGACCTAATCCCCGGTCTGAGACCTAATCCCCAGGTGAAGCTCTCATGCTGTCGGGGTGAGTTTGTCGGAGTGGCTGTTCTCTACCACGCCGGCCGTTTTGGGGGGCTCCATTTTCGGGGCCTTCCAAAACAGGGAAAATGGGGGGTTTAAGACCTTTATGAATGCATAGATCGGAATTCAATTCTAAAAAGCAGCCCCTTATACCACTGTGACACCTGCAGGACAGGTGTGGCACTAGCAGTGAAAGAGAGGTGCAGTCCTAACTAGGAGCGACAGGGGTCTCTCTCCAGCACATTTCTCTTGATTCGACCAGCTGGCCGCAAGCTAAACAAGTCAGGCGAACAGTTTTGTAGGAGAATGTCACTGAATTGGGTTCTCTGAAAATCCTCAGCCGTTAAATACTAAATTCATGATTTGGTGAGTTCAAGTTTCTGTTTATCTTCAGTCCTGAGAGCATGAGAGTGTTGAGCCCTTGTAACCAAGTGCACTGCTGTCATTCAGGAGCCGAGCCCGCCCCCAGAGTGACCTTCCTCAGCGGACACGCCCCGTCCACCTGTTCCACAGGTGCGCCCGGCAAGATGGCGGCGGGGCGAGTTTCTGCGGAGTGAGGTGCGTTTGCGTTTTATTTCTAATTTTATTATTTTAAAGACAAAAACTTAAATTTCACTTTGAGGAAAGTTAGACAAAAATGTATTGTTGTTGCAACTTTTGTTAATTGCGTTTGTTCTTGTTTAATTTGTGTTTTAGGACGCCGAAATGAGTCTTCTGTCCGTTTGAGCGTGCTCTCGAAGTTTTAAAAGTCTGCATTCAGCGTTCTTATACTACCTTTCACGTAAGTATGTTTTGAAAGATAAGGTCTGTTTCTTTTAACAAAAAAAAGCTGTACTTTATCTTTTTTTTTTACTTCCTAAAGTCAATAGCTGTGTACTCTCTCCTTTTCGGATTCGGATGTAATAACCCTTTCTTCTCCGAAATTATCAAATATTGCAAAGATTACATTTACTAATTCGTATGTTTTTTTATTTCTCCAGGTGACAAACGCATTTTAAGAACGGACCTCCGTCTATGAAAGTGTTTTTTTTCCTAATGTACGTTATATTCCTACCTTCCGCTATACTTTTTAATTTTATACTTGTGTTACTCGATAAAACACGTGCTGACTAGCACTATGTGACTTCTTTTCGTTTAATTGTGCTTTTCTTGAATAGAAAAAGAAACTCGAAACGCTGGTTCTTTTATTCATCTATTGAATCCATTGGGGAAAGATTTGCACGATGCTTTTCAATGCGGAGAGTTAAATCTAATATGGTACACGCCATAACTGGTACTTGATCTTAAATGTATAAAGTAACATTTCAAAAATGAATTTTCTATGTGGCTGAATGTGTTCTCTAAATCCTGGAGTAGTGGGACTGGGATGCATCTGTGATTTCTCTTGAAGATTCCTATTGCTTTTTTAGACAATTTGACATGAGCGTGTTTGTGTATTTCTTTATTGGGGCAACTTATTTAAATCGTTGAGACTTCGGAACGTCAAGTGATTCGATTCTCCTAATCCGATATCTTAACTTGATCCTTTTTCTTTTGCCTTCAGTTCTGCGGCTCCTGGTTCTCTGCGCTCCACAGGTGCGCCCGGCAAGATGGCGGCGGGGCGAGTTTCTGCGGCGTGAGGTGCGTTTGCGTTTTATTTCTACTTTTCTTATTTTATGTGCAAGAAATCAAATTTCAAATTTTGGAAAAAAGTTAGACAAAAATGTATTGTCGTTGCAACTTTTGTTAATTGCGTTTGTTTCACTTTAATTTGTGTTTTAGGACGCCGAAAAGTATTCTGTCCGTTTGAGCGTGCTCTCGAAGATTTAGAGATCTGGATTCAGCGTTTTTATACTGCCTTTCATGTAAGTATGTTTTATTTAAGATATGGTATCTCTAACTCTGTTTCCTTTTACGAAAAAAAGGCTGTAACTTATTTTCAAACGTTTTCTGTATAAAGTCAGTAGCTGTGTAATCTCTGCTTTTCGGATTCGGGCTGTAATGCTTGCCGCTCAGAAATGATAAAATGTTGTAAAGATGAAATTGACTGATTCTTAAGTTTTTCTTTATTTCTCCAGGTGACAAATGGATTTCAAGAACGGACCTCCACTTATGAAAGTGTTTTTTCCTAGGTAAGTTCAATTCCCACCTTCCGCTAACACTCGATAAAACAAGTATTTCCCAGCATTTTTACAAAAGAACAGATTTATACCAACTTGATCACTTTTTTTCGTTTCATTGTGCTTATGTGGAGTGAACTCTAAGGCGCTGGTTCT